ATCAGTGAACTGAAACTGACTGGCATGGACCACTGTTAATCAAAATTATATAACCTACTATGGCATGAATGAAAATGAAGAATTGATAAGTAGAAGTGTAGAAATTATGAAATGCTCACTCAAAAGACGACAGAGATTCTATCACAGGTTCTGTAGTGGTGTAGCTGGGATGTAGGATACTGAAAGGCTTGAAGGACTCTAGGACTCCTGTACTTGTTTAATACTATCTGGTCCCCATATGCCTACATGTTAATAAATGAAGTATGATGCTCTGGCCCTTCTTCCATTAATAGGAACACTCTTGCATAAATTAAAGAAAATGGTGATATTAAAATCTGACAAAAATGCTGTATTACAATTCATTCAAGTACTCATTTATGCTCTGAAATAGCTTCTTCAGTTTAATTAAGAAACTGGTCTCATTTAGTTGACTGTTTAAAGGAATACATTTCTTACTTTTTAGGCTGATCTATTATTTGACCACAGTGATCTGTCATCAAAAATTTCCAAGGGTATAAATCTTAATGGGAGGAGACTGTCTATTTTTCTTCTGCAAAGCCATTGATGATTCAAATAGTTAATATAAGGTGCAAAATGTTACAGACAACACCAGCATGTCTCCTATTGGAGTAACTGAGTATAGAATATTATTTTATTTTCTAAAGAGTTATTAATATAACAATTCACTTTTTCCTTTGGCTTAGTGTCTCTTGAAAATGTACAATTTTGATGATCACGTCACTGTCCCTAAAAAAATTAAACAGAAAACAAAGGGAAGCAAAATCTATTTCACACATTTCAGGAATGAAGTTGCTTGCTTATAAATGAAGTCAGGGAAAAAATTGCACAGGAGGTAGTATCAATAAAAGTATCATTTCTGTCTTGCCTTTTGACATATTTTTCTGCCCTTTGAGTTCTCTAGATGAGCCTTCCTTTTTCATTCCATTGTCATTTATCAGCTCACTCATTATCTTTTTAGTTTCGTGTATTCCCTTAATGTCATTCCTTGACTTTCTGACTTCCATCAGTCAACCAACCATCCACCCAATAATCAATGAATTGATCAATGAGTCAATGACTGAGCCTCTTTTAAAGAGGCTTTAGAGAGACATAGACAAAAAGGAAATTTACTGATCTTAAGGAGCCTGACAATCTGGAGAGTCTACAGAAGTAGAGAAGTAAATCAAGGCACAGTGAGGCTGCCAAGAGGGGAAAGCTTCAGGAGAAAAGGGGATTCAGAGAATGCTATAGGGAGAAGATAATGTCCATCCAAGCTGTTGGACATTAAATGAGGAGAATGAAGAGGAAATCACATCTACAAAGAAACCTGTGGAAATGTCTAGGAGAACGTGCACTGGAAGAGGTAGAGGAAGAAATGAGTAGGCTATGATTAATAAATTTTGAGAGATAAACTGGGGCCCAATTACTTTTTTGGATAATAATACTTTACAGAAACCAAATGTTCAGGAATGCACATTTCACTGGAGTCTATTTTGCAATCACCAACATTACCAAATGTAACTTAAATCAAGAGATATCTAAAGGGAAACATCTCTCTTCAGTAACAGTTTCCTACTGATCTGTAGATGAGATCATTACTGGAAACGGAAAGAATATTGAACACTCCTTACCCTAAAGAGTCATACACAAAGACACTTTAGCAAGTCACAAAATATTTATTTCCTAATATCACTTATGTCTGCTATGGTATGTCAATCTAGAACCCTAATCATTTACATATAATAATAACAACAGCATAATTCAAAAGAAAGATGTGACGTACAAGCTTATTTTCCAAAGAATATTCTTTCTCATTTCTGGTCTCTAATGCTTGTGTGTGAAGCGGTTGGAGACTCTTGGTGAGGGTTGGGTATGGACAGTTTGGTTGGGTTTTTTGGTTCACAATCGGGTGTAAGCTGATTGAATTTGCTGTGGGCTCCCAATGAGCTGTGGGCTAGAAGCCTCTTGGTTTAGAGTCAACCAATGAATAAAGAAAGGCCTGGTGGGCCTTTTTATTCAAAAGGCGGCTGGGCCCTTGGGCTCCTACTGTTAACTGTCTTTGAGATGAACAATCTTCTAAGTGGTCTGTCCAGTTGCTGTACTGAAGTAACTTTGGATTGCTGTGATGTTGAACACTGTGCCATAGGTGTGTCAAATGCCATAATGGTTACTCATTGTGGATAGTGTTTGGTGGAATTCCCAGACTGACTCAGGTTTCGAAGTAGGAGTGGCATCCACTTCCTAAACCACATGCCTCTGGAAACTCTATGAACATAGAGAAATGACGATAGTTATAGAACAGGGTTTAGGTCCTATGTTCATATGGTTGCTATGAGTTGTGCTCGATGCACCAGCACTTAACAACATTGCTTAACTTTATGTTTAAAAGTATAACATAAGAATTCTCACAAATTCCAAACTCAGTGTTTTGAGATGAAATAACTATGGCCAGCTATAAATCTTGTAAGGGTATCTTAGGACTCCCAGCAAGTGAAGTGGGTTGGCAGGAATAGCTTGTTATTCTCAAGGAATGTTCTCTTCAATTCTTCTTTGGTTTGTAACTCCAAAGACTTCACAGTAACTAAGTCAACTTGGTAAGTTCACAAACACATATTTTGGTAGAAAGAGAATTTGTTTAAAGTGTTTATTTATCAAAAGCTAAAGTTTTTGTTAGAAGTTTCAACTGTAAATTAGCACCTGAGTTGGTCTCTTAACTAAAAATTCAGAGTTTAATAAAAACTACCGGTACTTCACTTTTTATCAATTCCTGTAATTTGTCATGCTAAAAAAATAAATAATAATTTTTATTTTTAAAAGATTGAAGGAAATTTTTTAATATATAGAAAGCCATATTTCAGATATTCAAGGATGGTAGCACCAAATTGCCTTGCAATTTTTAATTTTGCCTCTTTTTCTTTGCTGCTATAAATTCTGAATAATAACTTTACAAATAGAGCTCATTTTCAAGGAAAGAAAATACTAGCGCATCTGCATTTCAAAGCTCTTGTTCTGAGAACTCTTATATACAGCTGAACAGATTAAAGTAACATTACTGTAGTTGGTTTTTTAAATATTTAATTCTTTAATAAAATTTTTCCATGTTTACCTAGATATTATAGCTTTCTGTTTTACCAGGGCATCACAATGGAGTTTTACCAATATAAGGAACGGTACTGCCTTTTTTGGGAAAGTACAAAATATTACATATTTTGCTTTATCTCTTTTTCGAAACTGGGAGAGTGAAGTAAAAAGTGGAATCTATTTTCCTTTCCCAACTCTAAGACCTTCTATCTGGGCCAGACTTTGATATTTGCCCCTTGGCTGAGAATCCGCATATCCAACTTCACACTTAGCTGCAGTGAAGTAGCCCTGCAGGCAGGCCGACTTCAACGAACCACTAGTGGTATCATCATTAAAATCCTGCTGAAGGTCACCATGGTAACCGCCTGCTGAGGCTTCACTGCTGCACTCGGCATCTCCTAATCAGCTACCATGTGAAATGCAAATTCAGACAGTCTGAAAATTAGTCAAGAAGAATAGGGGATGAGGATGCAGATATGTGAAATATTCATGCGCTTCATGGAAAAAAGAAGACAGCATGAATGACACAACAAAGAACGGCCCCTGACATTCTTGCTATCATTTTGCATTACTGTTCACACCCTACTGTATTTCTAGGCCTATGGTTCTGAAGTTGGTTTTGTGAAATGCCATATTTATATTCTAGACCCCAAATAGTAATTAAAAATGGCTAACATAATAGCATTAACATCAAATACAGATTAATGCTCCCAAATTATCAGCACTGCCTTGTAAGAGTTGATTCTAATTACTTGAATGCAGATGCTATTAAACAACAAAAAACCCCCCACCTGGCATCACTGGTTATCAGTATCAAAACTACCTACCAGAAAAGGTACTTATGCCTCCTTGGACCTCAATTGCTTGAGGTGTAGTAAACATTCTCCAGAAGTATTTCTAATTCAGTCAGTACACTGACTCAGTTTTCCTTATACAAAACTGACTATTTCTTTCACAACAGGAATACTGACCTGATTATCTACTAAATGGAACACTATCTCTATCTTTTCCATTTTCCTTGGGCAAAGAAAGAGCTGTTGCTCATGGGAAGATGAGCCGTCCTCTTTCCAAACAGTCCTGGTTCTAGGTGGATCTCTGATGAATTTTCATTCAGAGTCTATGAACATATCTTTGGTAACCTTGGGAGACACCGCTTCTTTGCATATGTCTTCCTTTAATACTGGTAACATCATGATGCATTAGGCTGAATATAGGAGATGTTTTATCTGATGAAAAGTTAGAGCTAGAGGTCCAGTAGAGCCAAAACTACTCCTTTAAAGGGATGACCAAAGCAATCACAGACTGTGGAGTCTCTAGTAAGGGAAAGCCCAAAATTTTCAATCCCACACAGTATGTTTCCCCCCATGTTTATAATGCTAATGTCAGAATGTTTCCCTGAAGGAATGTGACTGAAGCCAGTGAGATGGCGATAGGACAGGAGGAGGAGGGTAAAGCTAAAGGGATATGGGTGGGGGAAAATGAGCTTCAGTTTTTGGAAAACATGTTCTGGAGGAAGTTGTGTTCACAATACAGGGAATGAAAACTGTTTGCTGGCCAGGGGCCTGGAAATGAGAAGTCAGCCCATTAAGGAGAGCTACCAAAAAATCTTGATTTTCTAGAGCCCGGTTGCAAGCATTCATCCTGCACTTTGCTGTCTTCACGATGTGGTTAAGTCAGCCACTACTCTAGGCATACCTAGAAAGTGGCCAACTTCAAGCCCCATGCCGTTTGTGTTCCTCTCAATATTATGAATTGCAAAGCCAACTCTTTCAACAGTCAGTCTCCAAGAGAATGAGCACAAAATGAGAAAGGGCTATTTCTGCCACCTAGACGACCCATTTCTATTTCAAGATTAAAAGTAAAAATTTTTCATAAAATGTGAAAGACAAAATGAACACATGAAATGAGAAAACACTTACTTCTTCTGAATAGTGATCGGACGGAAGAGGTGGGTAGTCACACTGTTCTATCTTCTTACACAGGGAGTATAAATTCATTTTGTCACCGTAGAAGGGACTCTGTAGTGCGGCCATCTGTAAAATGCTCCCAATGAAACTGAGATACTTACATGGTAACTTTAAAGTTCATTTCATCAACTCTTACTACACTGAGGTGGGAAGTAACTACAAATATTTCAAATAAAAAGTTATCGGAGTTTTAAAAAATTTAAATGAATATCCCCTTCTCCAGAATATTTACAAAGTTCTAAGATCTTTCTTCAGTTTTTACTTTACCCAACATTTAAAACTTTATAATACAGAGAAATGCTTAGCATATAATTATTTCTTTATGTACATATGCAATGTATAACAATAAAGAAAAGAACATACAAGAACTTAAAATTTTTAAAGAAATACAATTAGTACAAGAACAACAGATCTCTTGATTACCATGTCATTAAGCCAGAGCTCAGCCATAAAATGCTTGAAATATGGCAAACATGAAATGAAGTTAAAACTGAATTATAACCAGTGATAATGTAACAGATTTACTGCCTTTTATCTTACATAAGAGCTTCTGTAGGGAAAGTGTATTCTGAGGGGAAAAAATGCATATGGCTTCCAATTTAAATATAACTGATCCCCAAAACAGTTTTACAAGGAATTTGAACTTCTTTTCTTTTGATACCATGTCAGAAACACCAACTACGTTCAAAAGCTCTATCACAAGTCATAGCCATACTTAAGGGAATCCAAATGAATTTTTTTCAATGCAAAAAAACATGACTCATAAGAAGGAGCAACTAAAAAGAAAAAAGACATTATTGAATGGAAATTTATTTTAAGACAATGCTCTAAATTGACATTTAGAGTGCAAGCAAGCACTGTGGTAAGCAGGGTTACAAACGAAAAAATTCAATTTAAAATGTTCACATCCTGTTCAAACCCTTCTAAATCTTTGAACCGCAGCAGCACGGATACAACACAGAGTGTAAGGCTGCCCCAAAGTCAGTCACCCTTTTCTACATGTGCTAATAAGTTTGAATTTGGAAGGACAATGTGTATATTCCCCAGACAGGCAGAGTGTGTGTGAAACACGCTAGTCCGTGCTGTGCTACTCAGTGAGCTCAGTGGGGACAGGACAAGCTGAAAATGGCTCTCATCTGTCTTCTGGTTCTCCAGACACGGCGTTAACTCCTTCGCAGCCTCAGCGCACAGGGCCAAGAAAGGAGCTGCCCAAACTCTTACCTCATCACTGTTTTCTAGAAAACCTGCTCATAAGCCTATAATAAAACAGCCTCAGGAAGAAGTGTTGCTTCATTTCAGGAAAAAGAAAGAATAAAAAACTAACCCAAACAAACAAAAATACCCACCCAACTTGACTATCCCAAAACAATATAAATCATGCTACCTGAAAGAAAACTTCTGAAAGAAAATCGCTAAGCAATCGAAAGAATCTATCTTGGTTAAAATGCAGCAACATGTTCTGATAAAATGGGTTATTAAATATGCTGTCTTTAAAAACAGAATAGGTAGCTATAGTCTCTCCACGTCTGTTTAAAAAAAAAACAACCCACCCTATGTTAATATGTACATATTCATTATCATATGCTAGGAGTTCATTATAGGACTTTTGTCTCAATATTGCAATGTTAAAAAAGAAAAGGGGAAAAAAAAATCTCGATGTCCCCTAAGGAGTTAAACAGGAATAGTATATTTTCATGCATCTCCTGTTTTGACAGATGAAAAATGTCAACTGTCCTGTTTTTATTTTCAAGCTTTTGCACTATTCATCTGGTTCATTAGTGCATCTCGATGCTGCCCCTGACAGCTGCTCGCCCTCTCCTCCCAGCAGCTGAATTTTTCAGGCTAATTTGATCCTCCACACTGAGACGATCGCTAGAATGATTGACTTGCTCCCTGACCTCCAGGGTCTGACTTTTCTGATTAGTATTCTGGGGGTGTTGGAGGGACGAAAGCCCACTGTCTGTCTTCGGGGCTGGTGGCAGCTCTCTTTTTTTTTGAACTATAAGCCACCAACCTACAACCCTGGAAGGATGCAATTGCTGTGCTGAACAATAAAGGAAATGTGTAAAACCTACTTTTCCATGTAAAGGTCCATGTAGCAAAAGCACAGCATCTTGATTTTAATTAGTAAAGTCTACTTTGTTGCATATCAATTAAAACTGTACTGCTAGGTTGGGTTTCTTTTTTTTTTTTTTTTAGGTTTCAAGTATATTTGAAAGTCTAATTTTCTGAGTTTAAAATACAGTTGCAAAAAAAGGCTGGCAATGCCTTTATTGTTAATAGTAAATTCTTAGTGGGTTACAGTAAAAAATGTCTAAGTAGTGTTATGGCCAGTTGCTGGGATTCCCTCCCCCCATCCTTAATGATACATTACTAGGAACTACTATGAATATGACATTAAAACCTAACTAAAAAAATATACAATAGAAAGAGAAATTAAAACCTTTAGGAAATGGCAGTTCTCCCAAATGGCTTGTTATTTCGTTTCAGATGGAAATGAAATAACAAGGTAAATACTTTAACTAAGAACTATGCACAGCATATATATACAAAGATAAGAGCAGCCAAATAAATAATTTTTTAAAAAATCAGTAATAATTTTCTTTTAAGTGCATATAAAATGGGACACTGTCTCTCAAAGACAAATCCAAAATGTGATGCATTATTTCAGTTTTGAATTGAGAGAGTCTGCTGTCCCTTAAGGAATGATGGAACCTTTCCCAAAATGCTTAACAATTTAATTGTACTGTTTGGTTTCACTGTTAAATTGAATCTCATAAGTAAGAATCAATTTTCTGTGTAGTTTAAAATGTTTAAAGGAAGTAAAATACACATAATCCTATATTAAAATAACTACAGGAAGAGTTTCAGATATCAGAGTATGGTCTGAAGGATTCTATGGCTACTTAAAAGACAGAACACATTTAAAAATGTGCAAGATGACTAACTATTTTGAACATAACAAGTTAAAATAATCAAATGGGTTCTTTACAACATTATACTGAATCACCAAAGGAAAGTATTAATCTCTTGTCATCTCAAATGCATATAAAACTGTTTTATTATTATCATCACCAATTTATAACATCTTACAGTAGAAAATTATTTGGGCTTATGGAAAAACATTTAAAATAATTTTAAAACAAAATAATTATTCTTTTAAGCAATAGGAAAAAAATAATCTCTATATGGTCCTTAAATTAAGGAAATATTAATCTGCCATTAGAAAATAATAAAAAAAAGGCGATGACAGACTTTCAAAAACCACTTTTCATGCTCCTCTTCCAAGTAATAGTGGGTTAATTAAAACGGTTTACCATCCTTACATACTTCATTCATGTAAGAAGGAAAGGAATCTCAAAACTTAAGAGTAAAAGCCATTTTACTAGTATATTCATTCGCATGTATCTATTTTATATTTTCTTTGCATAAGTTTAAATATAAGTGATGCCAGTTATTATTTTCCTTCATTTTACATCATTAAGAGAAGTAGTTTGCTGGAAATAAAATTATAATATGTAGGTTTCAGTTAAAGTTTGTATTTCTAGGAAACTACAATTAAATTTAATAAGTACGATCAGCAGAAGTCAGTAAATTGAGCTACACTTTGATTACAATATCCTACAATGTGGATGTAAAATGTGTTTATATAATTCTTTGTTCACTGAAATTAATGTACCATGATATTTGCTTGAAGACCTACCTACCTGAGTGCTTCTTATTTTGATAAACCATCACCAACAGAACAAGAGAGCATTTTACTAAACTTAAGCAATATAAGCAGTTACTCATGAAAACTAAGTAAAGTGATAATCTAAAAAATATTCTATTCACATATAATCTTTAAAGCTTAATTACACCTTTGTAAAACTGAAATAAAATAAGGATAAACCTATTAACGGCGCTTTTCCATTTTATTCATTACATCTCTCTTGCAATGCATTCATAAGCATGTTTTTATAGCTACCTAAATGTAAACTTTATAAATAAAACATGCAGAAAGCATTACCACAACTAAAAATGACCATTTTAAAAATAAACTCCCATCAAAATCTTACAGTTTAAAAATAAAGGAAGTAAATGTATATGAATGCCACTGATTAAATTCTACTATAAAAATTATTTATTAACCCAATGAATTGATTCTTCCTAATCTAAAAGCTAATTCTTGAATAACACCCAGGGAAAAAAAATAAGTATATGCTATTATAATGCTATAAATGTATTGCAATAAGAAAAAAGCATCAGTATATATAACTTATCAACATTACTTACCTCATATAGAAGACAGCCAAGAGACCAGATGTCAGATTTGAAGTTGTATCCATTTTCATGTATTCTCTCTGGGGACATGTAATAAGGTGTACCCACTGGGAAGAAAAGAAAAAAGAAAATAAAATAAGAGGAATATAAAAATGAAGATGCATCTGTGGTATGGAATCACACACAATTATGGATCAAAAATGGCATTCATATAATCCAACAGTATCAGAAAATTGTTTTTAAAATATTTAAAACTTTTATATTTCCTCTGTACTCCACCATCTTTGCAGATTTAAACAGCACACTAACAGCTATGCTATATTGAAGAGTATCGTGGGTTAAATGCTACTTTTTCGAAATCATTCCAGAAAGCAGAGCTAATGAGGGAGTAGGGAAAGAGAAAAAGAAAGACAACTTAACAACAAGCCTATTCAAATGAATGATTCTATTTTTCCTTTATTTTGGAAAAAAAATACAGCTTACATGTTTAAATAAGTAATGTGTTAAATGGCAAAATGTAATAGCTTAGTAGAATATGTATAAACAAATCATATTTGATAACTTTCATCCAAAGATCTTTCAGAAGATCCTCTTGGCTTAAAAAATTATAAATATTGAAACTTCTGTGCCTTAGTTTTTCTCACTTTGGAAACTTCTGAGTATCAAAGGGCGAGATAATAAAATATGTGAAAGGTCACTAACATCTCTTGAAAAATATGAAATACTGCTATTATTGGAACCATTTTAGAGAAAAAATATTACTGATTACTTTTTTTTTTTAAATGTGCTACTATTTTTTCTCTCTTAAAAAAACCTTAAAACTCTAATATTTATTAAGCATTTTAAGACTTAAATAGGCATACCAGTTAGAGTTGAAAGGGGGAAAAACTTTCAATGATTTTAAAATGAATTATATTAAATTTTAAACTTAGATGGCTATTATTTCAACACTAAGGTTTATTACCAGATAGGAAATCAAAGTTTGAGAACAGTTATTTGCAAACTTTACTTGATTAAGGCTAGAACTACCAAAATATATGCTGCTACTCATAAAGAAAGTACATTATTCTTTTTCTATTCTTTCCCAAGAACTCCCTAGATATTTACTGTAAATCCTAATGAGACTGTAACTGACGACACTGAAAAGAAGTCTCTAGTTGGCTACAGTGCAAAGAGCCACACTAACAATAAAAACACTAACCACACTTTCATTCCTCAACAGCAGGAGTCTGTTTCCCAAAGGATGGCATTACAATTTAAGAGTTGTATGTGGAAATGATACTGCACTAAATAAAGGTGAATAGACTGTGAACCATGTGTTCAAGAAATCCTATGTACATTAGAAACTATTTTTACTAATAGATAGTCCTATATCGTGCAGATGAAAGAAAGTATTCATGAATAAGGATAGTGAAAAAAAGAAAGATGCAAACACAAGAATAAAGGAAACAGAAATAAACTCTAAACTATTCAAATACTAAAAACTTTCAGAAAGAAATGATAGAACAGTCATTTGCTTTGATGTCAGACAGGTAAATTTGGCAATTTCCATCAGAAAAGCAAAGGAACCTTTAGGAATAGCAAGGTTTAAAGAATCTGTATTGTGGCTGGGTAGGACAAACACAAATAGAAGCTCTCTCCCTTGGGGAGTTCTAACCACTTTCATTTACAGCTGGCATATATATGCAGCACTGATTATTGGAAATATTTGCACACTTCCCCACTTAAGGAAGGAATAGCAGGCAGGGCTTTGCACAGGTTCCTGGTTTCAGGACATAAAGCAAGTGACTGGCAGTGAGGAATCCACAGGGGGCAGCTGAAAACACTGAGGCTTGAAGGTTCAGAGTTTACCAAAAGCAAAGGTAATTTTAACCAGTAGCTCTGGGAAGCCTGCTGATACATTAGAGGTTTGATATGAGTGTGAAAGATTGATGATAGAGAAAAAGAAGAACAAATGCTAGCATTTTACAGAGATTAGCCCCAGCGTAACACCTTAACTGTAACACATCTGACGACCCACAAGTGAAGGAAGCAGTGAAAAAAAAGAATGACTAGGAATTGCCCTTCAACAAACCCAAAATATTTTTAAAAAATAATAATCAATGTACATAAAAAACCTGCTTGCTCTTGTAAACTGGAGGTCATTACCAAAGTGAGACAGTTCATTACAAATATCTTTATACTAAGTATTCATTTTGTATTTTTACATTTAAATACTATGTATATTTCACATGTGTCTCTTAAACACAAACCTAAGTATGCTACTTCACCTCTTTGAGGGGCCTATTTAGGCAGTGACAAGACTAAGTTTGCTTTCTGCATTAGAATTAAGTATTGGGTAAAGTCCTAATTAACTGGTCAGCACAGGCCTAAATGGAAGCTTGTATAGCCTTCCTCTGATAGACTCCCATCTCCAGTGTGGACAAGGGCCTTTTTCCAGGCTGACATTGACCATAGTGGTCTAGTCTCATCACATAAATAGATTTTCGTCCCTTCCTCTACGTAAGAAAAAGGTCCAGAAGTTTAACCACTTAGAAATACATTTATATGAAGTGCTACCTTTTCTACATTTTAAAATCAAATCAATGGTTATGTAGTTGTTAAAAACCTTAAAAAAAAAATCCAGGAGAACTGTGTATATCATTGTTGTTTTTTAAAAATGCTGTCTTTTAAGAGCTGTGCAAGAAAAAAAGAGTTGTGGAGTGATATGATTAGACATTAAAATGCTCATGCAAATCACTATGTACTGAGAGTTATGGAGAAGAGTGCAGGATACAGAATTTCCCCAAGATTTCTAGAGTTTGAAGTTTAGGTTAAAATAGGGAAACTTATTTTACAAAAAAACCAAGCCAAAAACCCCCAAAACCCTTATTTTTACAAAGGAAAACCACTCATGTCCTTTTGAACCTCTTTGAGGATTAAAGGTATGAGTAGGAAATAGAAGAAGACATTATAAAGAACAAGGAAAAGTGAGTATCAGAAAGCAATTCCAAACAGCTGAAAAGGCACTTTGACTTCTCTTTAATGTGCATCAATATGTTAAAATCCATTAAGGGGATCATTCAAATGTAAAAAAACATTTGCATTACATTAACTGACTTACTCTAAGGGAAAAGTTTTATAAGGAATATGCTCTACAAGCAATAAAAACATTCTAAAATTTATCCTGAATAAAATGAGGACCCACCAGTTACAGTAAGTTCTAACAGAGCCAATAATTCCTGCTACACCTTGTTACTATGAAGTTCACATCTTCCGGTTCTGTACTGTTGAGTCAAAACCAACCCATTTTCAGAGGCAGTAAATCACATGGGAGGAGACAATCTTTCTCCTGCAGAGCAGCTGATGGATTTGAACCATGTGTCTGGGTTGACAGCGCAGCTCCTTACCATTACCATTAGGCCATCAGAGCTTCCTGAATTTAAAACTTGTATTTCAACAGCATAGGTTATAGCCAGTATTTTTTTTTTTTAATATTTGTGGGGGAAGAAAGTACTACAATCTCTGCAAAGACTTGAATGGAAAAAGAAAGAAAATGACTTTCATATAGGAAAAAATAAAACCCATCCAGTGTTAGGAAATCTACTCCACATCTTTGCTCCTAACTAGCTGCAAATTCTGAACTTCTCTTTTCATTCACTTTCTTCATCTGTAAGATTACGTAGGTGAGATGAACTCTTAAGATCCCCCTTGCTCGAAAATTCCAGGACACTCATTAAACAACCCTACGAAAATCCATGTGGAAAATGATGAGAAAAAAAAAAACTACCCTCTTTTCAAACAATTAACTAGGAAAGTAGAATGAGAGCATTTTCAGTCAGACAAGCACATTCAGTTCAGCAATGTCTGCTTCGTTCTCTGAGAACGAAACTGCAGGGAAAAAAAAACAGGATGAAGGAGTCTTGTTAGGAAAATTAAAAGGATTCAAGTTATTTATATTTCAGTTTGATTAAAAACAATCAGGGAATAGGAACTAATTTTCATACTTTCCTTCATACTCATAATTCAACCCAGAAGTTACATTGGTCGACTTAATGGAGAGGCCAAATGCCTTTCATTTCAAGGAGAATAATCTGAGGTTAACAGAATGACTGAGTGGTAGGCAGATCAAAACTTCAGGAAAAGGTATGTAAAAACTAAATCTGTCTTCCTAGAAGTATAAATAGTAATTTTAAAGACTTTAATAATGCTGACGAGAAAACGCAGCAAGTATTCTTATTTTTTGTTCTTTTATTTCTGGGTGCTGTGTTAAATAGATTATCTTGAACTTGAACAAATGGTATGGAATCCCTACTATATAACAAAGGAGCCCTGGTGGCCAAATACTCTCAGCTGCAAAACAAAAAGTTTTTGGTGCAAACCCACCAGTTGCTCCATGGGGAAAAGATGGGGCAGTCGGCTTCCCTAAAAACTGTAGCCTAGAAAGCTCTACAAGGTAGTTCTCCCCTTCACACTGGTCATTCCAAGTGAGCACTTACTCAGGGGCAAACAGCTAACCTTGGAGACAGGAGTAGGAAGAATAAAATGAAAGAGAGACCATGGTAACGTTGATGACAACTCTGTGATTTTTTTTTTTAATATGAGATGCTATTCCTATTGCTGTGTTTTAGAGGGGAAGCTGAAGAAGGCCAAATAATTTGTCAAAGTTAAGTAAGGTATACTAAGAATACAAACACAATTTTCATCTCTTGCTTTGAAATCATTACTTCACTAAAACGGATGTGAAATATGACGAAAAAAAATAAATCATCTGTATTTCCCAAATTAAGAAGAGAAGCTGAGAAAGCTAAAAGTCAAGGCATGTGCTTATGAGAAGCAGGAACAAAGGTCCAGGTTCAATGGTGACATGTGAAAATTATGCGACTCCATAGCTACTCTGTTTTAAAAGATGACTTGCTAGTATGCCTGACAGGCTAAATGTGCAGAGTTTAAAATCAGATAATAGCTCCATCCTGGAGCAGCAAGTACTTCGACAAGAAAGTTTAAAGTTGAAAAGAAGACAGTGAAAGCATCCTACATCCTACATCCTACAGTATGACTGAACATATGCTGTGTTTACAGCTCCAAAGCACCCTGAACTCTAAGGGGGTAAAAGGCAAAGAGAGAA